TACACACCCATATATATATATACACAGACACACCCATATATATACACAGACACACATTATATATATATATATACACACAGACACACGCCCACACATATATACACACAGCCACACACCCATGCATACATATATACACAGACAACACACATACGTTCATATATATACACACACACACATATACACATACACATATATATACACTCACATACATATATACACATACACACACACGTTCATACATTTAGACACATTCACATACACACACGCATATATATATTGGATATCCGCGTGTTTACTGACTCCGAGATCAATTAAGGCGGTCAAAAGTAGTCAGCTAGTCGGATGTACTGAAAATCCTAATGAGCATTAAGATTGTTCGAACGATGCCGGTTTAGTCTAGTGCCGCTGCACTGTTTGCTTACGGCCGGCAACAATATCCGAGTTGCAAAATGGCCAAGGAAAAATTTTCAGAACTACCACAAAACGACTGAGACACAGATGCCTATTCGTTCCAAATAGTCTTCGAAGCCATCTGCGGGTACTGTAGAGAGCGTCGTCGTACCTTGCTGTGTCGAAGTTAGTGCAACAGCGTATTATAACATGGCATAGTACGACGATGAGCACCAGCGCCATTACACATTCAACTCGAAGATCCAGCCAAACTGGCAGGGAATATAGCACGTTAAGATGGATAAAATAATCTAAAATCTACTAATAGCCAGTTAGGTAGGTCCATTCTGCTACATGATATACGCGATCCGCGTAATGTGCACGTGAAAATATAATGAAAATTCTGCGAAACATGACATGAAAAGGAAGCTCGCTGGAGCATCAATAGTCGCTCCATAAACTCGTAGCAGTTGGACCAGTTAAAAATCCAACGCTAGGCTAGGCAAGGTAACGTAAGACAAGGAGCAGCAACTGCAAGCGTAGTTTAAGGGAATTCGAGCTTAACCCATCACCAGAACAGAATTTGCTAGTGAGAAGACTTTCGAGAATGGATTAAACTGCCTAAAAAATGACCGCTAGCTACGCGCACGAGGCCGCGAAACCTACTACGAGAGAAACAGAATGCGTTATAGAGGTGACCAAACGCCACTCGAGCATCGACTACTATTCAGTCAAAGTCCATTTTAGGCCTCTCGACATATCTTCCGAAATTTAGGCAAGGACAACCCCGCTTAGTACTTACTTGCTGCACTAGACCTTTTCCATTTTGGGCTGACTCAAATGTCATAATAGAGAAACTCCGTTTTCACCGAAAACCTGTTGTTTTACGATTGGCAATTCGCAAACACACAATACGTGCACACCTTTCGGGCTTAGCCGAAAACGCACAGAGAATGCAGGGGGCGCCTCGATCGCCGGTTAAAATGGCGGCATCATGAGTCGGCGCCGAATTTGAATCAGAGAGAAGAATCGTTATCAATGGAAATAACTGGTGTTTATATATTCAAATGTTAGCAATAAGTTTAGCTCTAATCAAGTACAGCCAACTGTAAAAATGAACTAATAAGTAAGTGTTTCAGACTACTCATTGTTTCGTTCGTACTAATAATATGAATAATAATTTGTAGATGGGTAGCTACACAGTAGCAGATGAATATAGGTTAACAAATTATTATATTCTGAACTTGAGATAAACTGGATTGTTTCAAATATGAAAACCTGTAATTTTAGTGCAGATCAGATATGGCGCTGAGATATTAAACTAAATTGTAAATAAGGCGTCTTTAAATAGAGTCTGTATTTTGCGCTTATAAAAAATGGTATGGAATAGAACCTCGGTACTCACATATTAATGTATATATATATATATATATTTGATTTTTATTTAACTTCTCATTTAGACAAATAAATTGTCAGGGAAGCATGGCCTCTTTCCATCGTATCGCTGTTCCTTCAAATGCTAAAGAAGGAGACGCTGCATCGGTACGAGGTTGTTACTAGGAATAAGCGCATATCGCTCTGTCCAAAGTTCACAATTTGATTTGATTTAACTGACATACAAACGGTCTACTATTTGACAATGGTTGTTTTGCCGTTTATATGGAGCGGCATTGGTGTGAGATCAATGAGTGGGTTGTGGATCGTTATGGCAGGCGACGTCATCCTCGGCCGGACGGCTGTAATACGCTGTTATGCTGGTAGCATACGTGGTTGAAATGCTGCATTGAACGAATCGCCGGACGATCTGCTACGGCGACACCCTCGCCCTCGGCCGGAGGAGCAATGGCCCCTTTTGGTTCTTTGAGAGGTGTCGCCTGTCAGCGCTATTGCCGGCCACAACAGCCATATAGCAACAGTGGGGGAATCAAACGCGAGTAAGCGCAAGCTTTCAACAGCTGTAGTAACTGTAGAGGCAGCCTTCTGTGAAACGAAAGACGTTTCTCATGGCAACAAAATAAGCATATCGAAGAGTTTAGAATAGAAATAATAATGGAGGTCCTGCCGGATCATGTTTATCTTGATTAAATGTGTATGTCGAAAATAATGCTAATTAAAACATTTTTCGTGATGCTGACTACCGGCGACAGTCGCGTTTTCGAACAAATGTGGTAGCTGATCACAGCTCAAGAGCGGTATCACCGGTTGTCTTCGGCGATGCCAAACGGCGTTCCAAGCCGGCAAGCCGAAGTCTGAAGTTCGGCGCCGCATGGGTCCTTCGCCGCTGAAGTAGTTCTGAGCTAGTTACGCACTCCGCTTACTTCTGTGTCTAACTCGACCCGTATCTGAGTTTATCGCGGCGACCCAATGAGCAATTCGCTAAGCTGCCATCGCTCCAAAGCTCAGATACCTGAAAACAGCTACGAGCAAACAATCGTTTAACAACGATGATATCAGTGTGTCATATTTTTTCGAAATATTTATTGTAAGCTTGATATAGTGTATATGCATTGTCGAATAATTGTCGTGTCAATGAAAGACTCAGGTTTGTCCATTCCTTACATATATAGGAAAGAGCATATATTTATGTATATTCAAGAAGTCGGTGCTACTCTGCGCAGCATCGGAAAAAGAACTATGAAGGACTCTACAGACCGTATGCTAGTAATAATGCGGTACTTAGTTATACTAAATATTTTAGCCGTGTGCTGGGCCAGCAGTGAGGTTGATGAGCAACATCTTCGTGCTGCCAAGGAGGACCATGCCGAAAGCGAAATCCCGATCGTGGAGGGTTACGGTGGTACGATCGACATAAAAGTGGATTCTGATGTGCTCATTTTAACTAATGATAATTTCGATATTATAGTTAATGCAAAACCTATTATCCTGGTGAATTTCTACGCAACTTGGTGCGGCCACTGCAAGAAACTCGCACCAGAGTACGAACGTGCGGCGACACGCCTAAAGGGCAGCGATAAAGTACCTCGAATCCCATTGGCGAAAGTGGATGCCTCAGTTGAATTGGATATAGCCAACAGATTCGGAATAACAGGATATCCTACGTTGCTCGTGTTTCAGAAGGGTGTGCATAGAGAATACGAGGGAGGGATGACGGCAGAGGCCATTGTTGAAGAAATGAAGAAGCTCACTGATCCAAATTACAAGCCACCGCCAACTGTTGTCAAGGTTTTGGTCATGCACAATTTCACCATTGCGCTTGCTAGGGAAAAGTTGGCACTCGTTGAGTTTTACGCGCCATGGTGCGGACACTGCAAACAACTGGAGCCTGAGCTTGAACGCGCTGCTCGAACTCTCGCATCTCGTCCGGATCCCATCCCGGTATTTAAGATTGACGCTGTCGCAGAAAAAGATCTTGCTAAGGAAGAGAATATCCCAGGCTATCCGACATTGTTTGTGACACGCTATGGTGTCAAATTCCGTTACGATGGTCCAAGAGACGAAAGTGGAATCGTCGACTATATGATTGATCAAGGGAAATCACCTAGCGAATATCTCGAGCGTCAACCTCAGTTAAAAAATCACGTGAAGCGGACAGAAACGACGTTGATTGTGGGGGCGTTCGAGTCGCTCAAATCAAAATTCTTCGAAAGATTTCTTGAGGCCGCCAATTTCGAACGAGGAAATTTCACTTTTGTGCATACTGATAAATTTGATGTAGTCAATGCTGTTCTCGGCCTCAAAAAAATGGATATAATCGCTCTACTTCAGCCTGAATGGCTTCGGTCACAATTTGAGACGGTCCGCTTGGTATACAACCATGCCAAGGCACAGTCACGTGACTTGCAAGATTGGTTTCATGCGCACAGCGTTCCACTTGTCGGACACCGCACCCGGAAAAACCTCTGGAAATACAACAAATATCCAATGGTTGTCGTATACTATGATGTAAATTTTTCCCACGAGTACAGGTTAGTGTATTTTTTTTTTCAGTTTTGAATTAACCGAACATTCAATGGCTCACCACAGATATGCATGATGGGATGAAAATTTCCTGATTGTATGTTCTAAGTCATTGGCGCGTACCAATGCGATATTTAATTCTAGGTATCTCTGTCGCCATCGCTATATAAGAACGAGGTGTGGTATGAAAGGAACTTTTGTTCCGGTGTTATTGTGTCGTCATTAGAGTTCGTAGTAACGTGAGAAAAGCGAATTGTCGTAGCAAAGGGATTTGTCAATTTTAAGACGGAAATAAAGATCCGTAGTGGAGCATGTCTACACATGGAAGAAGTTACGTTGTCACCGAATATACCATTTTTAAGCTACTTGAGGCCTGCTTAATAGTATAGGACATTAGAAAAGGTGGAAATGTCTACAGCTGGTCGCGTAAGAGCGCTTTATTACGGAACTGGGCGAAGCAAAGCTTCTATAGGCAGCAACTAGATTTGAAAAATTTTGGATCAGTTGCGGATGCGAGGCTCCTGAAGTTGGGGCGCCTCAAAGCGGCGCACGTCCATCGTTAGATTAAATCCAGAAGCAGGGATATGTTTAGATACGTCCTCGTAAACGGGCTCACGAATTAAATCAAACCGGTGCTATAGATTTCTCGAGCCCATAGACGACCGGGAAGACGAGTTCACATGCACAGTAAATGTACAGCGGATATTCGTGATTCTATATCGGTCTCGGCGTAAAAACCGCTAACCCCCGAACCTATATTATAAAGTCGGCGGCGCGTATGATAAGTCAGAAAGAAGGTTGATTGGTATTAAAGTGGGTAGAAAGCTATATTCGAAGGTTAGGGGGCCGAACACGTGCATCCCAACGTCGCCTTTTGTCATAATGAAGGTGCATACGTTCAACCGTGTATGGGAGTTTTCTCAGCTTAGGAGAACGATGAGATGGTGGAACTTGCGTATGTCGAAGCGTCAACTCGTGTTATCTCAGAGATTGAAGAGAAATATGATTTGAGCAGAGTTTACCTTGAAAGATGAGCCAGCCCACTTCGCAGCCACTACATTATTGCAAATTGTTCTATATGATTATATCTGATAAATATATTCATTTATGGTAATAAGGTTATCTATGGTAAAAAGGAATATTTGATATACAGTTCTGTCTCTCACAGCAAAGTAGAAAAAATGTTCTTTCCTGCATTTTATGATTTTATGCATTTAGGGCCGACACGCAGATTACTCGAAGGCACGTTTTGATGGTAGCGCGGGATTACCGAGACTACCACTCGGATGAGGAATTGACGTTTGCTGTTTCTAACGAAGAGACATTCATGGATGAACTTGAGATGCTGAAGCTTGCAGATAGTCCAGCCGATGTTAACGTAGCTTTTTACGCCAGTCCCAAAGAACGGTCAGTAAAATTGTATCCATTATGAGCTAAATATCGTGGATTTCTATCATATATCTCTATCGTGTAGAAATAATAATGAGCAATAGCTAAAATTTATTATTTGCAATAATTGGCTATTTTCCTCTTTTCCAGTTATGCTATGGAACCCGTGGATGATTTTGATGCAGGTGTACTACGGAAGTTTATTGAAGATGTTCTCGAAGGTAAACTTAAGCCAGTACGAAAGTCCCAACTTGCACCCAAAAAGCAGACTGGTTTAGCCAGGATCGTGGTTGGGTCAACTTTCGAGGCGGAAGTTTTAAAGGAAAAGAAGGACATTTTTATCTTTTTCTATGCACCAGACTGTGGACACTGCAAAAATTTCATGCCTGATTTCAAGAAGATTGCTAAAAAATATAACGGTGAGGACTTGTTTGGCTCTTAGTATTTAAGGCATAAACTAATTCCGTTTCGATTAGTGGAAGCAATAGAAGCCGGCATGATTTGTCTAACCGCACAACCCCCAAAGTATAGCGAAATTGACGTTATCAGTCGTAATTACTGTGCTTATCTATGATTGTAACCAATTCTTTCAATATATTTACACTAAAAAACGTAGACCTATATCCTATAAGGTGGAACTCCTATATGTACATGGTTCTATTGCAGGCACGAATTTAAAGGTAGCCAAACTGGACGCTGCACACAACGAGTTTCCTGATGAGTTCGCCATTACTGGATATCCAACTCTCTTCTTTGTTCCCACTGGTGATAAGAAGAATCCTGTGAAGTTCGTTGGGGAAAGAAATTTTGAAAATGTTATAGACTTCATAGAGAAGAATCGAAACGGGAAAAGCGAGCCGAGGAGCGAACTCTAAACGTTTTAGCTGTTATGATTGAGTAGCCATACTGTAGAAAGGGTCGATATAAAGTTAATGATGCATGACATTTTCTCGTTGGTAGCCCATTAGCCCATTTGCCTAGAAGCAAAGATTATCTGTGTAGTTCATCTTCCATCTGTCAAAACTTACGTATTTTTTGCGTAACAGATGTGAAGATTAAAAGAAATGTACTTAGCATTAATGAGAACTAGTTGAGCTAGGTGATCTGATGAAACAATGAAGTTCGTGAGTAACGTTGAATGGTCAACGATCTTTAATGTAGCGTATTTTTTTCCACAACAACCTAAAGACCCATATCGTGTAAGGATGGAACTTAGAGGCACGAATTTGAAGGTAGACTTCTTTTGTTCTCTGAAAGTCGCTTTAGAGATATTTGTTCATACGTAGCGATGGTGGACGCCCGGAGTACACATGAGATTATCTTAACTGCTATATGTTGCGGAGAAAATGCAGGGAGAGGGGCGCGAGAGGGGCGGGGGAAGGGGGGGGGATGGGTGACTATGAAAAAAGCTGTTACTATGTTAGTTTTGCTAATGCGCTCATTAAACGATTTTTCTATTGTAATATACATATCCCGTAAGAATGGTAGTGTATGTTTTCTGTATCGAGACATATATGATGAACGAATTTTGCGCTGACGGTATCTCATCATTATAGAACGTTCTAAATATTTTCGGCATCTAAATATTTGTTTCGAAATATGATTTTCGGCATGAAAACGGAAAGATTCTGCTCGAGCAGACGTCTATGGCGAGAACGTGACTGCTGTTTTGTGCGTATGTACTAATAATGCATTAAAATCGATATTCTGGTGGTTTTTACACAACGTTATCACTGGTACCGGCTATGTACAAGCTAAACAAATTTTATATAAAGGTGATAAATAGAAAGTGAGTATCAAGGTCAGCACCACGGCAAATTTTTTACTGCAACATAAAGCATAGGAAACCAATGTGTTTTATTTTATGCTGTCATCGTTATCGGCCTAACATTGTTTATATTTTACTGTCCTTTTAATTGGCGCTCTACTTAACGTGAGCAAGTGAACACAGTATTGCAAGTTTTGCTATATCTATTTAATACCGTTTTACATACCGATGGCGCGAAACTGTTAGGTGGAGTAGTCAACAGTAAAAGTGCGTTCTATAACATATAAACAATTTTATGATAATTTAATAAAGATATACATGCTTTTCATCCAATATTCATAGTTTTCAATGTATTTCCTATTTTTTATCGAAAAGGCATGTATATAAAATAGTATCCGCTCGTCATACCTCGTGTTGTGCCACTCCTGTTTTTTTCGTAAACTATAGCCTCATCATTTGTGATTTTCAAAATTCGGAGTCATTGGTTCGCATATGAGGTCTCAGCTTGTGCCTTGCGGACGCTAAATTAAAGACATACTACAGCACTTGTCTTGCCACGGTCCACCGGATGAAGTCAGATTTGCTGACTAAATTTACGCTTACATTCAGGCATTCGGTGACGTCGACAATTATAGATTTTCACCTTATTTACCACAAAACGATAACCGCATTTTCATCCAGTCCGGGCCTTTCTAAGTCCTTTCACTTTGTGTGTCTGTCCCTATAATTGTTCGCGCGGTTTGTGTATCTGTAAGAATGAAATTAGGCATAAATATAATTTCATTCATGCTAAATTCCCTTCCTAGATATATGTAACCTGGATTCATCCCTCGTTACCGGTTGTTGCCTTTGTGAGTCTTTGTGGGTTTGAGACTCTTTGGGATAACATGTTGGCTCAATGCAATACCCATTGATCTCTTGTAACATTTTCGGGTCACTGAATTCGTGTTTAATTTTTGCTATTATTATTATCGTTATTTTCCATTGGCAATGCCGTCACATCGACCTACGAGAAGCCAAATTCAAAAATTCTGATTTTAATGTCTAGCTATAATGTGGAACTCCAGGTTTTACATACCTGTGGCTTTTTCTACCTACACATATTTGCGAAGTCTCTTTCCCTATAAAAATCTAGTTCTGTATACACATATATTTTTCGCTAACTAGGTTGTAATAAGCTTAAAGCATCTACATTTGTTCGCCATAGTTGCTTATAACTAATTTGGCCTTACCAATTTTGGTATCAGTTACGCACTCTGAGGTTCTTTTGGTCAGTTGTCGTTTCGTTGTCTGTTTCTGTGTATGGATATCAGCCTCTGTATCAGATTTTTATTTAAGTAAATACATATTCCGTAACTAGTACAGAACTCCTCTGAATGTTCGCGGTTTTAGCCTCTACTTTTGGATAAAACTGAATCGGATTATTGCAACAACGTTTTATCGGTGGCCTTTTGCGACTGGATAGCCTACCTTCAACTAGAACTCTGATTTTCATCATTTTATTTGAGCCCACAACTGAAGCTGGAATATGAAGTATTAGGTGGTTAGGTGAGTGGAAGTTAATTGTGGCAAGCCGTAGTCTAACAAAGGTTTATATTGTAGTTTTTTACTTAAATGCTGGCAAGAAAGCGACCAATGCAAGTTCGATCACATAAATTACATAAACAGTTATAATCTCACAAACTGCCAAGTATGATGGGATTATGTCGAACCGCCGCACGGCCTTCGGATTCGCATTCGCCTTTTTTGTTCGAAGTGACTGTTTTTTCGAGTCGCAGAAAAGTCCCCGTTTTGTGACGTCCTTGGGTGTCTTGCTTCTAATTGCACAAGGCGCGGTGGATTATCGGCCACGGCCTTAGCAACGATATCAGGTCCAGTTAAATTTAAATACACAGCACTTATTCGTGAGTGTTCCGCGGTTTTCCTTATGTCCATACTCTTTTTTCTTAGTTTTTTTGCAATTCCTTGATTAACCCCCCAATGCTACTCCTGTGCTTATCACCGTCTCTACGAACTCTGCTAATATGCTGTCTGCAGTTATGTTTCGCCTTTAACGTGCACTTAATATGTTGTTGAGATCATTTATTATTATTAAATAAAATTTAATAATCTAAAAGATACGATTTCTGCCGATTTGACGGTGTGTTTCAGCTACTTTTCGGTTTGGCAGACCATTTATTTTGCCCTTGGCCTTCGGTAGTAGCGAGTACCGATTCCTCACTCCTATATCATCCTTGACTGAAGTTGACAGTTCATATCTACACTTTTTGTTTTATTTGTTCCTCGTTATGTGGGTGTGATTCTTTTATCACTTTCTACCAACACAGCTGACATGGCCGGGTGTCATTCAACACACATCTGAGACTTGATCTGTTCCACCTATATCGTTATTGAACTCCTTCCTATTTTCTTTTCAGCCGCTAAGTGCTTTCATTCGTACCACGGCGCACCTATTCTGTTTCATGCTCCAACTTTTTCCCTAGGGCTTTCCAGCGATGTTTTCACTGTATCAGTTGTTGTAACCAAATGCTGCTCGACTTCTGCTGCTTTTGTATAATACTATATACATATTTCGGTATTTTTCCGGTATATGTTATTTTGTTTTCTGCAAATTGTTTTTATTCTCTCGTTCAGTAGTACGAAGGAGTGGGAAAATTGAGTTTTTCAACTTTGTCAGAAATCGCTGGGAACAATTTGGATCTATTATGCCTAAATTGTCGTTGGGTTTCTAGGCTACCTAGTGCAAAGCCACAGATATTCTACTACTCGAGGTTTTTGCCTACTATAGATATCTGTAAAAGCATCAAAACGTCCACCTTATTTCCTCCTCCTAGAATACAGTTTAATTTTCATATATGATGGTTTGTACGTAGTGAAGGTACTTCATAGGGAGTTCTTTGTGAAACAGATAATCCTCTAACGAGAGCATCCTTAAATACGCTTATTTAGCTCTATTTTTAGTCTGCCTACTTTCAGTCTCCCTCAGTCTACTTGCCTAAATTTCTCATAAATAAGTTGCTAGGTTGCACATTGTACAAAACTCTTATTATGGGTAAAATGCAAGCTGGCCCAACAAATTCCGGTTGTGTTTTGTCGTGGGGCATCCTTCCAACAAAAGATTACGTGGTACCGCATTCATTTCCGAAATGTGTTTATCATGAATGCGTGATGTTTAAACAAAAAAGGTTGATTTTCAATGGTTATAACTAACCATTTCAAGCTTGACTACACGGAACTGTTTGTTTGTCTAAATATCCGTAAAGTATGAAGCCAATGAGCTCCTATCGCGGTACTAATGCAGTAGGTAAGCTCGACTATAACAAGCACAGTCTGAGCCCTTAATGGCGGCGGCCAAGCCTCACCACCCCTGCTAATTTTCAGACATATGGTAAGTATTATGGTAATTCAGGGCTAAGTAATTCATAAGTATAAATTTGAAGCAAAATCTATACATTACGTAGAAATTCCTTTGTAAGATACCTATGGCGTCTGTGCAGAGGTTAAGGACGCGGTGGCTAATTTCAAAATGCTTTCATTTTAAGGAAGGCAGCTAATACTATATAATAAAAACAAAAGAAGTTTGGAAACAAACAATGTCTTTGAAATGCTAACACAACACGCGTGTGTGATGGATGCGTTAATTCCAATTCAACCTATACGGAGCACCATTGCATAGCTTATACGCTTAAACAATGTTGAGGGTCGTAGAGCTAAAGTCTATGTACAAAGCACATTATTTAGTATGGTGGTTTGGGCCCTGCTGAGAAAACCCGACTACCTTTAATGAACCACAAGAAAATGTCTAGATACAATTAATACGTGCAGTGCATTTATAGATTTATAATGATAAACAATGTTCAGCTTGTTGTCGTATGGTCAACTATTTTTTTATTTTTTAAATCGATGACTGCGACCTCCGAAGGTGACGCTTACAAAATCCCTATATCTTTAGAAGACAGTCGAAGGTAGGAAGTTCAGCTCAGGTGGGTGGCTTGCAGATTTTGAATAGGCTTCGGTGTAGTTCAGATCCAATTGTGGTGGATACCATGTCATATTATGCACTCGAATTCCAGCAAAAAAAATGTTTCTTTTTAATTTTTTTTTTCTTTTTTAAATAAGCCTCTGGTGACTCTCGGCACAAAAGCGTGTCTTGGAAGCGAGTGGAAAATACGCGTCGGTAATGGTGCACCGGGTTTTGCATCTCTTGGACATGGGGTCTGGTGCTAAGCAAGATGAATGTTAGTAAACTGCGTTCAATATAAATCTTGAATATACTGTCGCAGCCATCAAATATTTTGCCTACGTAGTGCGATGTATACGAGTGGTAAGGACGGCTTCAAGCAGCGCAAGCGTGGTACAGCGCGTCTTATAATAGATAAACTTGTCAAGCACACACCCATAAGGCGGTGGTCGTACAAGTGTTGCTCAAGTGCTTTTGATAGAAAAGTTGTGCATGTATCGGCCGTTTGTTGTTCGCTTCGTTCCGTGTTTTCTAGAATGGACTCACGATAGCGGTTTTTCGCAAACACGGAACTTCGAAGGCAGAAACTCTAGATGTGAAGCGGACTGACTAGCTCTGTCGTTAGCTGGCCGGAGCAAGCACTTGAAAACCTCAACCAGAAAACACTTGTTTATCAAAAGACTTCGACCACGCGCAGTCGGCAAAATGCGGACTTCGGTTTTCGATGCCATGTAGCACAAGTTCAAGATGATAGGCTCGCGCATGCTGACCTTCCGGCGTTTTAAAACACACCCTATTGTCGTGGTGGCAGTTACCAACACTGCTGTTGGATGCTCTGCACAACGGGGGCCATTTTTCTTCAGCGACGGATTCGCAGATTCTTGGTCAGCGTACCGGCGCACTTCGATGGCTTTCTCTTGCAAGTCGACATACATCGCGACAGTGTACGCACTCGCGTGCTCTAATCTATATCCATTTGTCCGGAAATAAGCACGCCATGACAGGTTGGGAATATAATAATAGGTTATGAGCTGAAGGATTAGTCGTGATTTTTTCGGACTGACCCGATGTGAGGATGTACCCATTAGCCGTCTATCCTTTTTGCAACGTGCGTATTAGCGCTACCCATCGAGGACTTGCCTTTGGGTGCACCTTATTGATGCACTAGAACTGATATTTTTAAACAGGGGCATACGGCTTGCGAGTTTGCAGTGCTGCCTAGCGTCACAATGGCAACGCAGCTAAAGCTTGCCGCTCCGGTTTGTCTTGCTTTAACAAACGCAGTCTAAAGACTCTGCGCGTTGATATATTCTCTCTAAACAGCAACAGGTGTTCCTTTTTGCTTGGTCGGTACGCAGCTTTTTTCGGAGGAAAAAGGTTGTATAGTTCTCCGTTGGAAATTTGCTATGTAGTCGTGTCGTGCGCACGTAAACTGAACCACACCTGTGACGTTTCTCGCAGAAACCGTTATGCTTCTCGTCGGTTTACCACGTGCTATCTTCACTCACACGCTCTAATTGCTCGACCCGCCTCCTGGGTCGTGAAGTGCATGGGGCGATCCACGTCACCCCATGCACTTGACGACCAGGCTGCTCGTGCTCATATCGCCAGCCGCCTCACTTTTGAAGCGGGCTGTCTTGGTGTTGGCGTTGGTTAGCAAGAACGAGCACCTTATAACTACGCGTTTTGCGCTCATGTAGCCATAAACGTGTATGTATTCAAATACGTATGCTATAACATTTCGAGTAATCCGAAAAATCATAGCAAAGCTATGCTACAGGTCTTAGGTACATGGTAATGTTTATTAAGTTAGGTTTTTAGATGTATCTCAGGCAACAAGCCGGTACTCAATCAGCGTCACCTCTGCTGCAATCATAAAACGTCCTGGCAGTGCGGCACATAAAAGTCCTTATGTACTTCCAGAGGAGAAATAACTTTTTTCTTTGCAGGGAGGTGCTGAATCTAAGGAATTAAAAATCGGAAGCCAATTGCAGTTGAGCTCCGATCAGTCCCGTATATATGTTAATACCGGATACAGCCGTGCTTCCGAACTGGCCCGAATATTATTTGGCAGTGTTTTCGAAGTGAGCCAGATCAGTAAGATCATCGAGGGTTACTATGAGCAGAACGTCTTTCAATAAACCGATTTTACCCGAGAAGATATTCTCATATTAGTGTATTTGCGTAGATTAAACGTTTTGCGAAGTGCCAGTAGATCGTGAGGCAAGGGACCGGGTCTCCTAATATGTTTGTCTGTCCTTTGAGGAGGAAAATGGATTGAAAAGGTAATATGAAAAGGCGTTCGTACTCGTAATACAATGTACACTCGGCTAAATTGTCACGTACAAGAACTGCCAAGTACAACGCAATGATGGTCTGACGTACAGGATGTATGTCACATAAAAACGGCACCATCAGAGTTGACCGGTGACCAACGGTCGACTCCAAACAGGGTGACTAAACAAAATTCTCGTCGAGACCATGAACTTTTTGAGGTACTCAAACTCGACTGTAAACGGTATTGCGAATAGGTGCCCAACTGCAAAAGGAGCAGAAGCAAGCTTTAGGCCAGCATAACGCAAAGCCCACCCGCTACGAGAGCAACGGTGGCTGCTTGTGCTTTATAGGATGCACCTATCGCGTAAAGGTCATAAGGTCGGAAGTGCGTGATTCAGAGAAAGAATTAATATAGAGCCGAAGCATGAATGCTAATCTTTTAATTTGCGTAACTAATAATAACCCCATAGATACACAAATTCTTATTTGAGGAGTTTAGAACAGTACACACTTCACTTACTTATCAGAATATCTTATTCTCAATTTTCAACCTTTACATGTGCCAAAGGGCTAAATTTAGTACCTTTTTCGACTGGGGTACGAGCGTTAGAGCGGTACCATGAACGAGTACTTAGGTTCAAGCTGTATCCGTGCTATCATTTGAGTCTTGAGTCGTAGCCAAAAACGATGGAGCTGGGATTCAAGATGCTCAATGTCCAAATAAAATAGAACTTGACCTAAATTATGCTAGCTTTAAAAGGTGAAGACTCAGTAGTTTTAACTAACAATAAACATTTAGACCGCTCAGGTCCCGTAATTCGCTTTCAAATACAAATCACCAACCCTTTGGCTATTATCCAGTTTCCAAACCAGTGCTAAAACCTCAATCACCGCTGTAGTCTTCGTACTGATCTGTGGTACTCTGTCATGGTTTTAGAGAGTTGTACGTAGAATTTTCGGTTAAATCATTTTTATGACATTTACTGAGGTGATCTTAACGTTTCTCGTGATTTTAAGGAAGATAGCCTCTTAGGTGAAGAATTTTACTTAGGAGCAATAGGGTTGCAAATCACAGACACGAAACGATGCGTCTCCAAGCCATGTTTGTGCTCCGAGTTGCTTCATTCCTGATATTACTCGATCAAGATCGATCCAAATTCATATTTTGTTCCAACAGCGCCACCATAAATGAAACATGTGCGATACTGATTAATTATCTACGTTACTATCAGATGAGTACGAAGTTCCGACAACGCAGCAGACAATTACTATTTATTATAGTTAGCACCATTTTGATCACTCTCATTTCATTATGCCGTACTGATTGCAGTAGAAGTAGTGCAAACAAAAATTGGTTTGAAACGGTACCGATGTGATGGTATTATACGCAGTGAGGACGAAACAGTGGTCTCGGATCTTTCTTTAGCGTGTGTACATAGCTTCGTTCGGATAACACTTGATGATGTTTGCTAACAAACGATTTCATCTCAATGCGCAAAGGGTGTTATAAGACTTTACGCTTGCTTCAGCCTTCTAAATACGCGGAGTTCCCTTGTTTGTTCAGGGCTACTTGGTAGAAAAATGAGTTAGAGTTGTATCATACGTAACAACGAAGCACCTGACTGTTTTTTTACGCCTTCACTACGTGCCACCTATACATACGTAAAGCGTATTCAGCCACGCCGAATTCGTGATTAAATTGTGTTTTCTCTCACAAAACGACCGTGTCCGTTCTTACCTGCCGTTAATGTGTTCATTTTACTATTCATTACTGTGTGAGACAGCCTAAAGTAAGAGCGAGTGGCCTTTCATTATTGGATGTGTTCCAAATGCTGGGCTAGAAAGCAAGAACTGATATCTAGCTAACGACGTGGTACATTGAATGCAATCAACTGCAGGGTGCGTATTACGTTCTGACAATATATATGTTCAACCCAAAATGTGTACATATTTATAAAAATCCTGAAATGACCCCCTCCCCCCTCCCCCGAGACACGAAGGAGCATTGAACGGATGGAAACGCTGTCTACATTGTTACATGTTGCCTGTGTTCTTTCATTTGATCACGAGGTCTGAACTCGAACAATAAAAGGCGAAGCGTTTTATCGTTCGAAGTAATAATAAACTTCATGGCAAACCTGCAAGTAAGTACAAAGCCTGAAATGTCCGCACCTTCGCTACGAAATCAGAGATCCCGAGGTACCAAATCTTCGGCGTTGCCCGTCCGCTATTCCAGTGGACACTGCATTGAAACGTGCAACATTTGTTCCTACACAACTATTACGTGAGGCTTATTTTTATCATTATGTGCCACTGTACGGCATACATTTTATTTTAAGACTTTCAGATTGAACATTCAGCCAACTGGAGAGGAATAGTTTAACTAATGAAATTATATAGACCCGTACACGTACGAACGCGCCACAGTTTCGAAGCGCTTGTCAACTGATATTACATACTAGTTGAATTTAAATAAGACACCGTTACGTTCATAAATATATATATATATATATATATTTATTATTAGCAATAAATGCAAATCTATATATAGACTCTCTTTCTGTCTCAGATTAGCAAAATATGAACTGATCCTAAATATATAATAGAAAGCGATTCATTTGAGATGTTTGACCCAACGAACGTTTGTATTGTTGACGTTGTACATATATCGGTGTATGTCGTCTGCGCATGTCGTTTGAGGAGGGGGTCGATTCCTCATAAGCTCAATTCTAATTCGTAAATAGCAGCAGCTCGAAGCACTTTCGGATACTTGTCAACTTGTTATTGTTACTGTTGTCCACGTTTACATAAATCTGACAACATTGTAACAATATATGCTATCGTCGTGTCCATGGATAGTGACAATGCCAGCTACGTAACTGCGCGTTGCGTCGACCGAAGTACTGTGACAACTATTCATACTTTCAGTTAGAACGGTATTGGATATATATATATTATATAATATATATATATATAGTTATGATGTGGTCAAACACGCACGCGCACACACGCGCGCGCGCGCGCGCGCGCGCGCACACACACACACACACACAGACAGACCTACACACACACACACACCCACCCACAGAAACACCCACACACACACACCCAGAGACACACACACACACAGACACACACACACGGACCCACTCCCAGCCGTACACCAGCGTAGCATGGAGCATCTGTCCGTCCATTTATTGAAACTAAACCCGGATACGCCTAGTTTGCGTGCAACGTAATCCTTAAAAAACACGATTACTTCGTTAATAACGATTATACTGTATTTGTATGGTATATATATGCATTAAACTTTTCTAAATATAGCTACCACTTCATGCTATTCTTCGTACATGGTCAGCGTGTATGATTATTATAACGTGAAATTTTAAGGCGCTACTTTCTCTCGTTACCGTGTTGAACCTACTATGTACACCACTGAGCACTTCTTTCTACACTAGGCTGGAATAAAAAAAAATCGTAACACGCATCGTTCAGGCATATCGGATTCTGAAGCTAACGTTGTCGCATTCTTTCTTCGATCTGCTAGACCTATGTAGCATTGTGCATTATTTAGCGAAGAAGCCATCATGGCCGGAGAGGCAAATCTAACCAGATCTAATCAGTATTATTGTAACCTGTTCAGAAGCTAATGCTGTTTTTGTTCGATACGGACGGATCCTACAACAACCGAACCCATATTAATAATACCTTCGTTGAAGCCGCCGCTTCCATCGCTTCACTCAACTATAATACCTGCGTTACACACTCAGATGTACACACAAAATGCTTATTTTTTATTAAGATTGTACTGTACTTCAATCATTCATCATCCTATCATTCATCTATCACAGTCTTCCACAGGTTTCGATGAATAGGAATAGATAAGTGTTTGTTTATATATATATATGCTTATATATATATATATATATATATATATATATATATATATATATATATATATATATATTCTATAGTAAACATGTAATCGTTATCATAAGGAAGTGTTTTTACTGCCACATATATTTTATTATTATTATTATTATTATCATCATCATCATCATCATCATCATCATCATCATAAAATAATTAGTCGTCAACCGTTCCAGATTTTTTTGAGCATACTAAGCGAAGGAGCGCCGTTTCTGCGATTGGCGGTCAAGGCCTTGCCAAGACGACTAAATCAACCAAGATTTTAAACTCCAACGGCAAAATCGCTCATTCTATAAACGTTAAATCAATCTAATAAACCACTTTGAACGGTAAGCCACCCCGCTTGCCACAGGACTACCTTCTCCTTGTGGTATCCTTAATATGGTCTTAGTATCAGTACGTACTTGTGCTTATCTATTTTATGCTGTTTGCAATAGCGGTTCCGTATCTTCTTAACGTCATCTCCTGTCACGTGACAATATCAGCAATAAAAATCAACTTTATTTGTGTCTCGATACAGCAAAGAGAGAGAAAGCCAACTGTGCCCCGTATTTGTGTGCTTTCCAATTCCTCCAGTGAGGAGTTGCTGATACTCAGCCAAATCCCTGTCTAGATGGGTAGGCTCTACAAAACGGCTAGATATATGAAAATTTAAGTAATATCCATATGCCCAGTTGCAGAGGTTGTTGTCTCTTCTCGTTTTGCATATAGGTATCGTTCTACGCTAATTACTATTAATTGTCCAGTATACGAAACAGGAGATCGTTTCTGCTAGCTGCTTGTCAGATGGACTGTCCCTTTGACACTGTACTAATAGCAACATTAATCGGTCGAGATATAATTATAAAGTATGATGATTTTCTAAGCGAATATTTTGTTTTTTTTTTCGTTCGTTCTTCAGCTAGTTTCACAGACAGAGCGAATAGTGAGGTTCCTGTTTTCTACTCGAAACCATTACACCTTTCAGAGACACCATAGAGAAGAACTGGCATCCGCGTTTACGTCGCTATTCGATGTTTCTGCGAGTCTGCTAAGCTTATGGCACCGGTGTGCCAATTTGAGTGATCGTCTAATAGTGTTTTCGTTTGTCGTCGACAAGGCTGAAATTAAGCCAACACGCTTTTACCGCAAATGTGTCGGGGGCATCCGCGGTCTCCTTGGAGCTTCGTTGGCCATGATAGCGTCCATTACGAAACCAATAAAGGTCTGTCGGCGTTCTACCCTCTGCAAAGTAAACAAACCAATACATATTAGTACAGAATAATCGGGCACTAAGTAGATTTTAACAAATTTCTCATTGAAACCAACGTATTTACTAATTTTTTCAAATGAGTAATCTTCCTGTAAAGAAATTTCGAAGCCGAAATAGATAGTGCTATGTACATAATATTATTGCTATCATTACATTGAAATCGCTGCGTATATATATACGCAGCTATATATATATATATATATATATATATATATATATATATATATATATATATATATATATGCGTGCAGCGCCGTCTAACTAGCACGCTAGTTCGAGTTTATTTCGTAGCTAGGTTTAATTTTGCCTAAAACGCACAGTCATATCTGTCCTGGTCAGTAATCAATATTCACAATGTGACCGTTTGACAGGACGCTGCTTATTGACGACGCCCGAAATCTACGCAGATGACGCGACAGCAGACGAAGCTCGATCGTCAGCCCGTCATTTGTAAAGATCGCATCTAAGAGACAGGGAAACATCGCTAGACGTAGATGTGAGGCGCTACAAGCTCAGACGTTGTCGTAGCACTATAGTGGACGGAAGAATCAGCGAAAGAGGTTAACGTGTTTAAATAGTGAACTTTGCATCTTTGTTCTTGATTTGGCTTTACATGTTAAGGTGTTGGCGAGAAACATCTGGCGTTGATAGCCAGCGGAGGCTTGACTGTTCGCTTACATCGAAGTCCGGATCTAATCAGGTTTGACGCCGACAGACTGTTCCGTCGGATCTACTGATCCCACTATATGTAACACAAGCAAGGTGCTGCACGACATCGACAAAGATTCGTAGACGACTAGTTGGGCGGCACCCGGTAAATCGATACGCCCCCACGCACGTTGCACAGAAACCAATGAGCTAAAAACCCGAAAGATCTGAAGAAACTGTTGCCGATTACTGGAACGAGGAGAACGTCATAAAGCCAAATTGTCTTGTCAAGCTAGTGACCGCTACTTGTCAAATACGACAAGTTATCTATCTCGCACATCGCATTACTGAGCACCACTACGTTCAATAGGGGCATAATGATGTCGACTACTGAAGCATCTGCACACCCCTTTTGCAGAACCCCAAACATGGTAGATGGAATCGCTGGTTGATAGTGGATGCACTTCTCAATAGTTCATTTGCTTACATTTTGCATTTAATTGTTCGATTATTACCTAAAAAACCAATTGATTTTGTTACACGAATCAAATCTTTATTAATACAGAGCTTTGCAAACGTTTTTCTGAAAGCATAACTACGCATCCGTCGCTGTTGTTGTCATTTGTTAAAAATATCTCTTCCTTCCCTTGTGAGAACAATACAGAAAAATATCAAGGTCATTGTACAAGAAATTTGTCAGCGAGTTAGCCCACAGATACTGAGACAGACGCAGGCTTTTTATTCGCCTTTTTCGTTCACTTTTCTCTCGCCGGTATTGACCCGCCCGGTATGCTACTCTCATGAACATCTCGACACACAGACCCTCCCGCTATTATCTACCGGAGCGGGATTTACCTAGGTTTGCAAACCCGTTGTGGCCCCCGCTGCCGGTTTGTTCGCCCGCAGTTCGGCCGATATCAGCGCGCCCCATCCTTCAATCTTTACTATGATGATGGACAGGGCTAGGCGAGCAATCCGCGCGGTGTGGGAGGCCCGCGAACCATCTGTTGCCGCTACATCGGAGCAATCAGAAAGCACCAATACGAGCTCTAGTAGGTCCAGCAAAAGACCGAGACATCACGAGGCACGAGGCAGTTCATACAACAAACCTGCGCCCGCATTAAACATGAACTCTCGTCTAACGCTCACGCGGAGGATCGATGAGCAAGACGTTTGGGAAGAAGCAGAACAAAGAAAGCAAAGGCAAAGCTTCTTCATCCTCCTATCTTCGTGCCATCATCATCATCAAAATTGAGCGAGACAGACAAACGAAAGAAATCGAGAGAGAGAGAGAGAGAGAGGGGAGAGATGTAGATGGAGAGAGAGGGGGGGGGAGAGAGAGCAGGAGAGGGGCGAGCATGGATGAAGGGGAGGGGGTGTCGCATTGAAACACGCTCTACGCTCTGACGATCGGTGCTAGATCAGCCACTCAGTAGTTAGGTTGCCACTGCTACTGCTGCTTCAGGTTTTTTCCACCTCCCCCATCTCATCTATTGCTCGTATATGAACTGCTGCTGCTGCTGCTGCTATCACACAAGAAGCAACACAGTAGGAACACAAACGGCCATTCCCCCGACTTGCCTCTTTCTTTCAGCCTTGTGCTGGTCTTTTAGCCTAGCTCTGCCCACGGTCTGTCGACCGATCTCCCAGCGAGCAGCACACAGGCAGGCAGGCAGGCAGGCAGGCAGGCTCTTTTGCACTCGGCTCCAGAAACCGCTATCGCCGAAGGTGCCCCCTTGTAAATATCTAAATAACAATACACTACCACCTGGCCATACCGCGGTGCGCGCGCCCTGTGCCGACATCGCAGCGAAAAAGCAGCTAACACAGTAGTGGCAGCCACTTCTTTTCTTCTATAATTATTGTCCAGTACTGAATAGTGTGTCGCATGAACTTGCCATGCGTGAAAGAAAAAGATGGTGACAAGACAGCCAAACAATTACTCGAACTCTAAAGACTACGACAAACTAAGAACCAGTGACAAGAAACGGTACTCGATTAGTGTAGTACAGTCCGACCTAGAACTGTAGTATATATAGCAATCACTGCAGGCAAAAAATCAGATCTGTCCTCAACGCAAGGGATGAGTATGGCCCGGGACAGGGAACACAGTTCAGGTGGGGTGCTAAAAGTGATCAAGGTAAAAACAAAAAGCCGACTTGGACGTCGAATAAGGCTCAGCCGTACGAGCAGATGTAATGCAATACAGGATGAGGACTAATGCCCGGCAACAGCCGCGGAAGAACAATAAAAAATCATATATATATATATATATATATGTATGTATGTATGTGTATGCATCTGATAAAAACGAATGACGAGCGCATCAGGCGAGATGTATTGCTTGTAAGCTTACTACTTCTAATGGAGTGCACTGCTTTAGCTGTGGCGGACAAGATATATGCTCATCACTGCCCGATGTTGAATGTCGATTACCATAGCGGTGTTCACGACATGAGAAAAGGCCAAGTAGCGAATCTTAGTAAAAGAAAAAACGACGTAACAAGGTGGGTGCCGTCGAGCATGTGTTTACATGGCGACGAAGGTATCACCTCCATCCATCTTGCCGCGGTGGTAGCTACTGGTGCCAGACTGTCGATGGCCGTGATCAGTTTCGCTGGCATAAACAGGGCGAATCGAATGGTGCCAACGGCGTGCGACACAACATCGAATGCAGGCCATGATCAGAATGTAATTCTGTACTGTTTTTCGAAGTTTATTGGTGAGGCGTTATGTTTGTTCGCACTATACCTCGTTAGTACTTTTACTGGTGCGTGATACAACTAGTAAGAATAATGTTCAATAAAGACGCTTTACTTCTTTAGGTGCAATCTTTAGGCCACATCCATAATTGTTCGAAGATGTACGACGCGTTTTAGCAGTAACAATCGTAAAACGGCCGGGCGATCATGGACAACTGCCGGGCACGTTATTAGGTTAGGTCAGGCCAACGCCATTTCAACGAATCATTGCTTTGCGTCACAGTACTGACAGAAAAAATCAGCTACCTACTCGACTACAAGAATGAATCACGAAATGGACGACAATACGTGCCACTGTTGGCCCAACCAAAATAACTCGGCCAATGTAGGAGCGCATCCAAGGTTGGCCCCGACTGCTTCTAATGTAACCGGCATTACTTTTGATTGACGGTCGGTGTTTATCTGTTGCTTCAAGCTCTCGCGACGCTGCCTCATTCGCCACTTCAACAATTAACCAGCGTGGCGGGCCACCCGCCTACCTGTGTTATTCTCTCCGGGCCTATGTCCAATGTATGGTGGCCTACTCCACGTCCTGTGCTGCCAGCCAGTACGACGACTCGAGCCGGCCTTATCACTGACACAAATAGTAGCGGTCGTATGGCCGGTTTGTTTCTTCCTTTTACATTTATACGGTTGTGCTAATGAAAAGATAGCGGGTTGACATTGTTATTGCTCCCGTCGACGTCATTGTCGTTGTTGTTAACGGCGATGCTTTCTCCCCCGGCCCCTTGCACGTAAATATATATTTGTGTGTATGACATACAAAACGACGTTACGCAGACGACAAAGCGGCAGGCATAATGCCTGTTCCGACGCACGCATCCAGGCAGAGAAGCCGATCTAGCTATTTCTGCTTCTTTCTAGATCCGATAACTAATAGCTTTGATCGCTTCAAGGCTAAACGACGTAATTCATATAAACTATTAGTGCGCGAGGACAGCACAATGCGAATGGCTCTGATCGACGCGATATGGCGCATCGGTCTGAATTTCTATTTCTGCTTGCCTGTATATCGGTTCGTCTGCGACGGTCTTAGCACCCATGACGCTCTGTTATTGTCGCTGCTCACAAGCACCTCGACGCTGGCACGCCTCGAGCGTTACGCGCGCATGTTAAGTGAAAATTCGCAGCGCCAGCGCGACCGCCAGATTTCGGGGACGCTATCGAGTTGCCGACAAAATGCAGCTAGACAAATAGATACATTGTTTGGGATGCCGGTTAGGCGGTTTTACGACGTTGGTTATTCATTCGAAAAGAGGTTCTGGCGTCCAGCGACAAACTATACATTACTCCGCCAAATGATTGTATACTTAGTCAATACGTGACCACATTACTGCTAAAGCGGTGGTATTACGTCTACTCTACAGTTATTATCGCTGGCTGACGCTAAATATACGTTTGTTCGCGTACTTGCCGATTGGGTGTCCTTTATATAGAATAGAATGCATACAAACTGAACCGTGTTTGCCACATGTTGCCTTATTAACTACAGTGAGCCATAGCACGGCGTTCTACTGCTTTGTTGTGGCTTTCGTTGTTTTACTAAACATTTGTTTGTCATCAAGCTCAGCACAATAGTCCTGTGCATACACCCGCTAGTAACTGGGGGCATAAATGACACGGACGCGCTAAGGCAAAGTCAGTGGGAGGTCGCCAACAGAAATTTCGTGGTATCAAGAGCTAGAATTTACTCCAGTCGCGTTTTTCATTTTCAACTTATCAAGAAAGAACACTACTAGTACGCGTACTATTGCTATTACCATTAAATTAAGCACCGCGATGGCAGATGGCGGCGCCTTAGTAATGCGTAACGAATATTACGCATCATTGCTCCCGTCCATTGATATCAATAGAGCCCGTCTACCTGTTGCAGACAGAAGACAATTTAAATGTACCCAGTAATGTAAGACGCGTTAGTTTTTGTGTGTGTGTGTGTGTGTGTGACGATATTAAGAAGATTAAAAGTGGAAAATGAAAAACATAAAGAATAACATAGAGCGAAGGTATCAGCTGGTGTTCCGGTGGTCATATGAGCTCCTTCCTTTTACGCCCTTTATCTTCTTTCTCTAACAAGCTGCCCTGGCGGACTTAAATGAGATAGTGTGCAAAAGATAAGACGGAACTACATATATATATATACTGCTAGAAGTAATACAGTGAGGTAACTATTGCTGAACACACAGTACTTCCAAAAGGAGCAGGAAGTTCACCTAACTCCGATCGCTACGTCAGCATCATACACTCTTAACTTGGCTTGATGATTGTTATCAGCATCTGTTATTATATACATTTAGTCTGTGTAATTGGACATCTTTTTTAGCCAACAATGAATTAAGGAAAAGAAGCAGAACAGTGAAGCCACCGCTGCGCCTAAAGTCAGATCGTATGATATACCCTGGTTTGGATAGACCTACATCTTGATATATAAAGCTTGCGTTAGTAGGTATTGCGCTGTTTTTGTTCATCTTCGATCATAATAATATCTTCTCGTTAGACTTCTTAGGGTGCGTTCCCTTCCCGGACCGAATGACGAACTTTGTTCTCGCTTAAGTGAGAACGGGGACCATGTAGCTGTACAAATATCTATTTATGCGTGCGCGTGGCTATCACCCGAATTCTGCACAATATTAATATATACACACATCAAAATACATTCTATACATGAAGATCTCGTTGGCTTTTTCTTTTCAGCCGCCCAGCTTGGTACTCGTATTTGTATTGGTTTCACCATTTGGACTGAGTTCAAGAAAATCAGGAAGCGCTTGCGCTGGTCACCCGACGTCTCACAGACAACGCCAACAGCAGCAGTTAAAAGAGCAGAGACGATTATAGTTGATGACATTGCCAGTAAGGCGATTGGCCAAAGCAATCCTGGCCTGCACTTTTTTTTCGCAACTATATCAAGCGACTAGCTGTTCAGTCGCAGCATGCGCCCACGAGCAAGCACAGCATGACGGGGGCGTCATATTTTATTCTGTCCCTGTAGGAGGCGGTGATCACTGCCATGGTCTTCAGTCTCATCGTCGTCGCGTGTGGTAAATGTGCGGCAAATAGATAGGACCTGGCCGACACCATGAAGGACTCAGAAGTACTCGGCTATGGACAGATGTGCAACCGAACGGTGCCTTAGCGTCATGAGTATCGTCCTTAAAAATAGAGACCCTGTTGACGGCTTTCAATTTGACTGCGCATCAAATGAACGAAAAATTGTGCTATCATTACTTGTAGGCAAGTACGAACTAGTTATGCTACTCGTATATACAACTCAATTTCAAATCTTCTGTGAAGCAGAATGAGGGAATTTTCTGAGAGAAGGTAAAGGCATACCACTTGGCTTCTTTAGGCAGCCATCTGAAGAGTTCGTACTATGACTAAATATGTACCAATTTGTTGTCGGCTGTTTGTTTGATCGGCATATATATATATATATATATATATCAGATCTGTTGCGCCGTTTTTCTAACAGTATAGATACTCCGTAACTAGACATATGACACACATACCCTTTGAAAGCGTCCGTATTCCCAATGGTCAGAAAGACGGCGAAGGTCCCTGCCGATGTTCAGATAGTCAGCTTCGTTTAAGGAGGCAGCGCGGCGTGGAAGCGTACGAGCTGGGCGACGCGGAACTACATCAGGAATATTGGAAACAGTGGCTCGCCGGCGACTAACGGCCGCGACTTCTGAAAAGATTCAAAAACGATGTGAAAAAAAAAAAAAAAAAAAAAAAAAACACAGACCACAGTAGCAGTATTGAGTATACGATTCCACAAATCTGTGTACTTTTCTTTTTTTCTCTTAAAAATCTTTTAAAATAAATAGAAATTAGAAACATCTTAAAATAGTTGTTCCATCTATAGTTTTCGGTCGAGATTTCTGTCTCCGTGCAAATTTACCCGCGAATACTAATAAAATTTCTGAATAATACGTCTATATTGAGGGTACATATTTATACGTTTGTGTTAGTTAAAGAAATTTTCTAAAATCAATGGTCATCATATTTGTACCATAGAGATCTGAAGGATCGGCCATTCATCAATTAAGGTCTTATTATTCCCTTTCTAAAAGTTAAGGTGTTATGGTGGTTACACCTTTATGCCAATACAGGTTTGTTTACATAGATTGACGGCTGAAGAATAAGAAGCTGCAACATCGGAGAGTCACGATTTTTCTGCCACGTGAGCTTCACGTGAGGGACTACGAAGTCCGTCTGCGACGGCTTCAGTCATCGTCACGATTCAAGATAACGGCGGCTTTCGATTTTTAGATTTTTGTTGCTAACCTGGATCTCACTCGTAAAATATGGCGCTTTTATAGAGGCAATGAAAAGGGTACGTCACGAGGAAATCGTACATCTACTCGCGTATACCTATATTATGAATGGAAACAATGGTTAGCATATAATGGTTCATAAAAGCGTTACCGCTAGCTATCAATACTTCACCGACGAGGTAATAAACGAATTCTAATAGGGAGCAGTCATTTTCGTGTTGTTGTTATCGTAAACACTACACTGTTGGCGCATATTGCTAGTGTCAATGATTTTTTTTTTCTTTTTTCGAGAAAAAGCAATACAATGCTCGCCTATCGACATAATTTCCAAGGGTTGGCATGGTTAGTGAAAGTGGTCCGATGTTAACGTTGGTGCTCATATCTGACATCGCCATGGATCTTATATGCTAGCTTACTAAAGAAATGGCTAGAAAAATAAAGAAAGACAACGGCGAGATCCATTGCGGCGAGGCCACAGTCTCTTGTCTCGTTGCCGGTAAGTTTGCCGTTAATTTGTTTGCTTCGATTCCTCGATCGATCTCATCTTGTTTTTGATCGCTGCTTAAAAATCTAAGCCAACAAAAGTGAGAGAAATCATAAAGCAGCTGAAGAAAAATATAGAAGCATTAACAGTCCCGCCTTTAGCTTCATCTCAATGCCGCCTTCGACAAGTCGTGGTAGCAGCAGCAACAACAACAACAACAATAACCATGATTGTGACAATAACTGTTCGATTTCGCTCTGCCGTGCGTCAGTCAACGGCACTCCTTTCAAATGCTACTGCTGTTCATGATGATTAGGCTCATGGCTTAGCGCACCCCCGTAATCGACTGTTCATAGCAGTTCAACTAAAGCTTTGTACCCGCGTCGACGTAATGCTCGTTGCGTCTATTGACGTCGTTGTTATTGTCTATCGACTTGCGTAACGTGTTAGTTGATTTGTTAATAAGCTGACACCAGCACCTCAGTTCAAATTCCGGCTGAGGTAGCCCCTAAGTCGTAGCTTCGTTTACTTAACCATTCTGGCACTTCGATCGATGCTGCTGCTGCTGCTGCTGCTGCTGCTGCTGCTACTATCATCGGTGAAGTTGTCGTCTTCGACTCGCGTAACTGTTGCGTTATTAAAAAGCTGACATGCAGGCAGACAGAGGGCGACTGGGTAGACGGTGTCAGTAAGGAAGGTTAGTGAGTGAATGTTGAATTAGGGGCCCCCAACGCGTTTGCCACGATCGAACGATCAGTGACAGACACTACCAAGGACGCTTGAATCAAATGAGCCTGCCCGACGCCTATGGGTGGATGAACGTCGATGACGATGTGCTCGAAAAGAAACGTTAGATGTGTGCGGACAGCCGCGTCAGCAACGATAGCAGTTTGTGAGGGTGGCATTAAGGGGCAGCACTGGTCAAATTGCTAATACCATCCGGTTGAGGGCCCCAGACCCTTTATGACCGTGAAGAAGCCAAGGAGCAGACATCTCTAGCAGCGGTCAGAAACTTCGTCGAGTAAGACCTGGTAAGAAATCATCAACACCTTGGAACCAGCAATGCGGCAAAAACGAGTCAAGCCACTCAATCGGATAACTACGAGGAGGGAAAACGAAAACATGGTATGGCACCATCGCTACCAGGATCTCCCCTACTCTCTCGCTACTTTTGATTTCTCTGAAAGAGCTCGACGGCCGAGGATCAGCCGTTTCGTATCTGTCTTTTGCACGGGTCCAGCCGGTGCTGCTGACCGCGACATCACTTTTCCACACTCCTCCAGCGGATTCTGTGCTGAACCACTATAAATGTAGTCAATATCAGCGGTACATTTGCTGTCCATTCGGCCAGTCGCGTCGCACAGACTAACGCAAACGCCATAGCCAACAGCCATTGTTAGCCGGCAACGGTACCAAAAACAGCAGCGGTAGCATCGTCGACGCCAATAGCAGAAGCTGCAGTAGTACACGCAACCTAAGTAACTAATAGAAGACGAAAAATGGAGACCAAGAAAAAGCCATAGTGTGACTAAAGCCAGCAGGTAGACACCTGCATGACCCCGGCCGCGACGAAATACACACACACGCGCGCGCATAATCCATGCATGTGCCAGCTCGGACAAACAATCAGAGGGGACGCGCAAATACACACACAAACAGAGTAATGGACGACGACCAGCAACGAAATAAGCGATAAAAACGAATAAGATAGAGCCAGCCGCGAATCATCACGCGCAGCGTTACGTCCGACTCAAAGATGAACAACGCGGTGAAGAGTGGAGGGAGCGGCGGGGGGAGAAGTTGGCGAGCACCGGCGGTCGAACAGAGGGAGAGTGAGAAAGACGCCGAGCGTCCTCTCGTAGAAATCTCTGGTCCGTTAGGATAGGCCAACGGTGAATCGAGAAAGTGGCTGTCTATAGTTTGTCTCCATCGGTTCTGCCCGTTTTCTCCCCTATTTGTTACTCCTTTCTGTATTTCACATTGGTAGAGGAAAAGACAGTAGCAAGATTAGATGTAGTGCTGCTAGTGCAGGCGCGACTGCCGCTGCTGCTGCCGTTGTTATTACTGCTACTATCGCTGGCGTTGAATCAAGCGACAAGTAAGAAGAAATAGCCAGGACTAAGATCTTTCTGCCCGTGTCAGATCGGCTCCGTGGCGATGCAGGAACAACGGGCGGATAGGCTTTGCTCTTCGACGACGAGCTGCCGCTGCTACTGCTTTCGGCGCATCAGTCCAGGTGGCATCGTTGCCGTGCTCGATATTGTTGTGGTACTTGTAATACTTCTTTGTTTAGCCATGGCAAGATCACTCCGAAGAACAGACTACTGTAGACACTCATGCGAAGGCGTAGAGATATAGAACCATCGAGGACATTGCTGCTATTCCGCGTACGATCATCGTTCGCGTTGATGCTATTGGCTCGTTTGAATCATCGGCCCCATCGAACCTTTCCAACATCTCGAAAACCAACTGAGTGTCACTGCTACGGCTGATACAATCGTTGTATCTGTTTTCGGTCTATCTGGATCATTCTATAAGAACTCTCGTCGACGTTTTCCTTTTCTCACGTAATTGTTTAAGGCGACGCGTGCGGTTCACTACTGGAACGTCATCGCTTATTGCGATCACACTTCGGTCGTCAACGGCGAGGTAAACTGGATCTGCTGATGTTACTAATGTTATTGTTGACAGCCGACTTAGTGAAACGGCGTATCCGCGACCCGGGCAGCGGCCGCAATCGTACGGACTGCTTAGGCCAAAAGGCTTCGCTAGAGCCTACGACTCGAGCTGGAGGGACATGTCGCAACGACGAGACGTTGCAGTTTCAGACATTTTTACGGACGGATTAGCTGGCTGATCCAACTCCTTTGTCTCTCGCTCTTGTTGACCCACTCACAACGCTATGCTAACAGAGAATAAATCGAAAAGAGAACGTGTCGATAGCCTGGAGACAATCGCCTATTTATATATATATATATAAATTTCAGCAGAGTAATATAATGTGCTTGAAACCGTTGAAGGACATGGGTCACATTTAAACAACGTACTCGCATACGAAAAATGCAATGTTATTCAGAACAAGAAGGAATGAAAAACGATGAAGGCAATGAGTAGCAATTAACACTGAAGCCGTTAATTAAATTTGGAAGATATTTCTACCACCACTCGGAGATATGACCTTGGCTACGTAAAAAGCCTCAAGCTTCACAGCTAATGCTATGTCGAGAAGGTTTAGCACCGTCATACGTAACTGGTTAATGGGGATGCAGTAGTTGTAGATTTCTACAACTGATGCTGGTGCCATATGAAAGGTCTCTTCGATCTTCACTGTCATATTGTTACGCTGTCCGTCTATTCTTTTATATTTCTGAATACACCCACATCTGATATAAGACAGCTGTGGGTGGATTCAGAAATAAATAATTTTCTTTTTTGCTTCTACTAAAAAATTCATAAACGATAATACTAATAACACGTGATTCCTTTCGACAAAGCACGTAACACTAAGACGTCGGGAACTCGCAGCGTATGATGCAACACGAGTGAAGATAAATGGCATTCGGAATCGAAAATGGTAGCATTTCTGATAGACCGTGCCCCATCTGTCACCTTATTTCTGCCTACTATTTTCTCTGTTTTGCCTCTTACCTAACTGTCACTAAACAATCGTTTCTTCTATGCTACTATAGTTAGCTAGCCGGCTGACAAGCACAGCTGAGGCCAATTGTCCCATTAATTGTTCTTCATAAAACGAAACTTCTGAAGCGGAGCGTCGCCAACGCCAGATCACCCCGCGACGAGAATACAGCCGGTAGCCTATAGGGCTTCTGGACCGGTATTTGGCGTCCCATGAGTCCCGTTACGCGCTCCGGGTGTCTTGCAATCTATAATATTGGTGTTCGGGCAATCGCTATGGGGCTGCAGCTT